CTTCTCTACAGAGAAGGGGCGAATGAACAAGGCTTACCTTGATCTTGTGGAGCTAGCTGCTTGCGCTCAGAGGATTCTTTTCGCTGTTTGCATTTGCTCTGCAAAAAACATACCGCATAACAAGCAAAACTTTTTGATCGTCCACCTACAGGTCTAGTTGCGGTCTACATTCGAATGGCTCAGTAATTCAGGTTTTTCCTTCTGCGCTTTGGTTCGCGAACACTTTTACGAAGCGTAAGTGTTCGCAAACCAAAAGCGGCCCTGGTGGCGTAACGGATAGCGCACTCGCCCGGAAAGCGTGAGGTGCGGGTTCGACTCCCGCCTGGGGCACGACTTTTGCCCACAACTCAGCATTCTTGTGATAACATTCGGAACGCGTACTGCGGCGTTAAACAGCAGTTATCATAGCAAAAGTTTTACGAAAGTTTGTTTGTAATTGTTTACTTAAACGTCTCGTCTATCAGAACTGTAGGAGTTCCTTACCATTTGGTACCTATTATGGGATTAACTAAACTACTTCACTACAGAGAAGGGGCGAATGAACAGCTTACCTTGATCTTGTGGAGCTAGCTGCTTGCGTTCAGAGGACTCTTTCGCTGTTTGCATTTGCTCTGCAAAAAAATATCCTACTATTAGGTTGTCCGGAAAGTTCTCAGCGTTTTGGGTGTTTCACTTTAAACGATCGTAACTTAATACTCATCGGATTTAATCGAAATAAGCACCATTCGAATCAGCACACTTTTGCCAATGTGACAGCAGTCGAGAAATCCCATAAAGAAAAACTGGGTGGTCGAGAATCCACGAAATCTACGAAGGTCTTTTTTGCCTGGTCCTAATTGATGAAGTATTTTTCAGCAAGGAAGTTCTGAAAATGTTTGAAAAGGTGATAGTCGGTTGGTGAAAGGTCTGGAGAATATGGTGGGTGAGGTAGAACTTCAACCCCCAATTCGTTCAATTTATGGATAGTGATTTGTGAAACGTGTGGGCGGGCGTTGTCATGCAAAAGAATCGGACCCTTTCTTTTGATAAGTG